TTATACATATATATATAAACAAACAAAAAACAATAACATTTGTAGACAGTAGACAATAGTGCAATGGTGCAGAGTACAAAGGATGCTGAAATAAATATCTTACGTGCAGGTATCTTTATGTACATGGGGTAGGTGGATATGACAGAGTTTACTGTAGATACAGTACATACAGTATGCACAGCATAGGTACATGTATTAGAATTTATGTTTTGTTTTAAGAAAGAAACTAGGTTTTCAACATTGGAAAAATAATTAATAAATAGTTTCCAGGTTCAGTGGATATTAATAGTCCTAGGGTTTTTGTACAGGGCAGTTAACTGTTTGTCAGAGTGATTAAAATGGTAAAAATGCATTTTTAGTTATACTGATCAGCAAGTCCTGTCAAAAGATAAACAGACATTGATATATATATTTTTACCTTTTTAAATAGTAGCCAACACACCAACACAATAAATAAACACTGTCCCAACAGTGTGTATGTTTTATATTTATATATAGGCTGTTTATTGCCCAGGTCATATTTGTGATGTGCTTTTATGGTGGTTTGCATTTAATGCATTTGCGTGAAACTATCAATATTCTATTGAACAGTTTTCTTACTGCTATATATGAACTGTCATTTGTCGATAAATATTGCTAATGATTTATTTCCCAGGCCTAAGTTATCATTAACAATGTAAGCATCTGAAGGTTTAGGTTTAAAATCTTGAGAAATACAACAACATTTTTATAGCACAGCTTGAACAAGGGCAGATAAAATGTGACCATATTGTGTATCTGAGTCAACAATTTTATACTGCCTTTAGTCTTTAAAGTTTTTCATAGATCAAATGGAAATAGGCAATTGGTCATAACAATAACAAAGTATTTTATGAAACTGCTCAAGATACATACTGGTAACTGTCCTTAGGTCCTTGGAAAATGTTAAAACTGTATTTGATATTCAGGTGCTGTAGTAGAAATGTTCATTATAACATCAATTCATATTCAATTGGTTACAGTTTCTATGGTTAATGTCTGGTCTTGAAGAGAAGAGAGACAGAGAGAGCATTGGAATTGGAAGGAGAAGAAATTAGAGAGGAGGAGTAGGCACTCTTGCACAGTGGTCATCACCTCTGTCACTGGCAGAAGATGTGACTGACAGAAAAAAAGGAAGACAATCAGACAGAGAGCTAGGCAGTAGTTCACTAACAGACAGAGAGAGAGAAATATGAGACGAGACAGAGAGAGAAAAAAGATGAGAGACAAGGAGAAAGAAATGAGAAGAGACAGCAGCAGGGAGGGAGCTACCAGCAGACATCAGACAGCAGCTCTCCAAAGAAGTGGCACGCTGTCCTTATGGCCAAAGGCACCAAGACAGTCATGGTTTTCTCACCGCCTTCTTTCCCTGCCTGAAACACTGTCCGATTCCTTCCCTTCGGTTAGTGTCTGCTGCTTTCCTTTCTGTCACTAACTGTTTTTAATCTTTCTCTTTCACGTTCTCTGTGTCAGCCTCTCTGCCACAGCATCAGCTTTGAAAATGAGTAAAGGGACAATGCTATGCGATTAGAAAAGAATCAGTTTTGTTGATTATTTTAATATCAATGGTCTTATTTGTTCTACTTTTTCTGAAGGACACACAATTTTGTTGCAACCGCAGTTTCATCATGATTTTTGACTGAGGCCAGCCATGAAATGAAAATGGGTGTTACACCAGAGGGCCTGGGTCAGGTCCCAGTGTCAGTCATCCTCTGCTGAAGTGTCCTTGAGCAAGACACAGAATCCACACCAGCTTTAGGGGCAGCATTCTGTAGCTGTTCCTGACCTCCAACCTCCCTGTGGAGACTCATATCATATTAGTTTTATCCTGTGATAGATTCAGTATGAGGGGAAATGAAAACTGCTTTGTGGGGAAGCAAATTCTTAACCTTATTATGCCGTTGAAGTACAACTGTCTTCCTGTCCATGTTTGGTCAGGTGCTACATCACCCTAGCCCAGGCTCTTGGTATGAGTATGGGTGGAGCGCCTGCTGGTCCTGCAGGAACAGGTAAGACTGGGGTCTAAAAGTATCACTTTGTTACGATGTGTCTATGAAATACTGCTTTTAGAATGGACACTACTACATTGGTTGATAGGTGATGGAACATAACACTTGGGTCTTGCATATGTACTACTGTGGCAGGATTAAACTATTGTAAAATGGCATCAAGAACATGAAATAGTGACACACAAAAAAAGGTGTTGACTACATCTCTTTAATTTTGGTGTTATCCCTTGTTAGATTACAGCGGTGACTCCTTACCTGGAGGACCTTTACAAAGGGATCCATAATTAAATCTCAAGGGTTGTGAAATGATTTATGGGATATTGCCCCGCTAAACAACTTTATGGACATTTTATAATTGTAATTCCTTTTTTTAATCTAAACTGGATAGTTTTACTATTTCAGACTCCACTAAGATATAAAGATAATTTAGACAATTATCAATTATGAACAATGAGAAAAGTTTATTGTATGTATTTAGCCTGTGAAGAGGGATCACAAGTCAACACTGCTTCATTTTAGGGGTCACTAAAATGTCAGGGTACCACCCAATTAGAAAGATAGTTTTAGTACATGTTTTGGTCTGGGAATTCGTTTGGTTTTCTGTCAGTAAAAATGGTTTCATCTCATTTTAGGATGTGACAAATCTGCCTTTTGTTATTAGGTAAGACAGAGACCACAAAAGACATGGGACGCTGTCTGGGAAAGTATGTTGTAGTCTTCAACTGTTCTGACCAGATGGATTTCAGAGGCTTGGGAAGAATATTCAAAGGTAAGAGTCACAAAGCATTGGTGCTATTGTGTTGTTGCAATTTGAGTGGCACCAGAAAAAGTGTAGGGATAGAGCCCTAAAAAGGCTCAAAGTTCTGTGCACAGCTTGAGGGGTTTAGGACAATTTGGTATTTTGAATAGTTTGTACAGAGTAACTATTTGTCTGATTTCCAGGTCTGGCTCAGTCTGGTTCGTGGGGCTGTTTTGACGAGTTCAACCGCATCGACCTCCCAGTTTTGTCGGTGGCGGCCCAGCAGATCGCGATAGTTCTCACCTGCAAGAAGGAACGTCGCAAAAACTTTGTCTTCACTGACGGAGACAATGTGGATATGAACCCCGAGTTTGGCATCTTCCTTACCATGGTCAGTGACACAACAGTGCCATTATTTAGAAATGTATATGATGTTTTATGTTGTACTGATATAGTCTTATAATGCTGTGTAGTGTTAGGTTGTCTGTTGTAGAAGGTTATGTGTAAGATATAAGCTGGCTGATGCACCTGGGTACATACACCAGTATGTAAAGAGCTACTTGTACATCACAAGAACCTGTAGTTTGAGCTGCAGGATTTACCACATGACGACACATTTTATTCCAAGCAAAGAAACTAGGGCTTTGTATTTAGAGAGCATGCCAAAAGAAATCTGTCAAATAATACAATTTTATAAGATTTAATGAGCATAGCTATATGGAATACCCTGGACCATATCATATTTTATAGTTTGTACAATATTGCTCATGAGGGTCCGCCTCTTATTAATAATATTAGTCCGTGTTCGTTGTCAAACTCTTAATACAGTAATAGTTAGATCACTTTCACAGTTGCTAACCCAAGGCATGTCATTAAAGAGTGGAATAATATTCCCATGTAGGAAGAGGTCAGAGATCACTCTCTATTGTTTTTACTCTGTGTGTGTGTGTGTAAGGTGTTGTGTGTGATGTGTGTGTGGTGTGTGTGTGTGAGAGAGGAGACAGTAATCAAAGGCAGGCTCTGTGGAGAGGAGGGCCTGAGCTGTGTCCATAGGGGTTTAACTAGCTGAAAGATAGAGCTTGCTATGAACTTAATGATGTTTCAGTATCAATTTAATATGTTTGTGTCGTTTTTTGGTGTATAGCCATTATGAGTAAATGCAAAGATAGTCTGTATACATACTGCATGCACCTGCTTACCTGTAACTCTAGTTCTCAACCAGCTGTATAACTTTCTGTCTCTTATGTGGTCCACATGATTTTTTATTTTTATTTGATGTATTTTTGTGTAACTGTATAATCTCAGATCTAAATGTTCTGTGTGATACAATATGCAATATTATATTTCCTCATAATTATCATTGAAGTTTTTCCTATTTTCACCTAATTTGAAACTCTGGTTGTCCTTGTCTACATAATCAGAACCCAGGTTATGCAGGACGCCAGGAGCTTCCTGAGAACCTGAAGATCAACTTCCGCTCTGTGGCCATGATGGTTCCTGACCGTCAGATTATCATTAGGGTAAAACTGGCCAGTTGTGGGTTTATAGACAACATGGAGCTGGCCCGTAAGTTCTTCACTCTTTACAAGCTGTGTGAGGAGCAACTCTCCAAACAGGTAAAGAAAAAATGGATGAGTTCTGAGTGCAAAATGTGACAGTTGTCCGACTTAAGCTTTGCTAACTTCCTCCCACCCCTTTTTACATACACAGTGTTTTAGTGTTGAATTTATATTATTGGATGGTTCACAGCACACAGAATGCAAAAGTACAAGAATGCCAAGATTACTGAATATGGAGAAAGGGGCCTTTCAGTTCAAGTATTTGATATAATAATAAAGCTGTTTGTCACTAAACTTCAAAGGAATCATAAGGGTTATAGTGGCATCAACTAGAGCACATGTGTGCTTTGTCATGCAAATACACATAGGAAATGTAATTTGCAATTATAGGTCCCAAATTTAACTGCCTAAAGCTTAACTCATCACAGATAAAATGTTGGTTTTACACAGCTGTCTGCAAACAGATCGTGACAAATCTAAAATGCTGTTTGTGATTGTCCAGGTTCACTATGACTTTGGCCTACGGAACATCCTGTCAGTGCTGCGAACACTGGGAGCAGCCAAGCGAGCTAACCCCAGTGACACGGAGTCCACCATCGTTATGAGGGTCCTCAGGGACATGAACCTATCTAAGCTGGTCAGTCTAGAATAGAATTTTACAATTAAACTAGATAGAAAAGATAGAAGCTAGAATAGATAATCTTAAAATTTCAAAACAAAATTCAAGGATTTTTAAAAAGCATGAGCAGAATATTAGAATAAAAAAATATGAATGTAATTAATAAAAATCTACAATGTCATAAAGGGTGGAAGATAAATCCTGCTCAGCTGTTTTGTGAGGGTTTTTGCTAACTTGTGTCTGTGGTTGTGTTTGTGTGTGTTTGTTAGATCGATGAGGATGAGCCACTCTTCCTGAGCTTGATTGAAGACCTCTTCCCAGGCATCCAACTTGATAAAGCAGGCTACCCTGAACTAGAGGCTGCCATCGACAATCAGGTAGGAGGGAGTGAGGGATGAGTTTGTATATGAGTCAAGTGCCAGAGAAATACAGTAGGTTAGAAGGCTGGAGGAATAGAGAGAGAGAGAGAGATAGAGGAGAAGGTCTGAGGAAAAAGTAAACAGAGGGTGAGAGAGAGAAATGAAGAAGCAGAGTAAAATCGGGCAAAAGACTAATGGACTGTGTAAACGCCTTATCTTTCTTGGCACTCTTAAACGCCTCAAGATAAAGCACCCAAAAAGGATACAAATGGTGTCATTTAACGTTTGTCAAGGACCTAAGGACTAAGTAACTGTGGCAAGAAAAATAGAAACAGAAAGTAGGAGATACAGTAAAAGGTTAACTAAACTGCAGAATTGTTGTGTGTGTCTTTGGTGCAATACATTGGTACATTACATTACATACATTACTGCAGGGATGCCTTCATCCTTCATGCCTTGTTCCCCGCTGTTATATACTATGTTGTTATATATCTCTGCATGTATCTTCTTCAAAGGACCAGTGTGTAGGATTTAGTGGTATCTAGTGATATAGTTGCATATTACACCCCGCTCGCCTCACCCTCCCCTTCCAAACGTGTAGGAGAAACTACGGTTGCCGTTTTGGGCTACTGTAGAAACATTGCAGCTCAAAGTCATTCTAAGGTAACGAAAATATAACAATTCTCATTTTCAGGTGATGATCAAAACATACCTATGATTATTATATTTATATTCCATTTCTGCCAGTAAATCCTCCTAAATGTTACACACTGGACCTTTAAATGTGTGTGAACCTGTATGTGAATCTGTCAATACATCCAGAACATGTCATAGTACTTTGTATACTTATATAGTATATGCTTAGTGTGGTAAATATAGAAGAACTGCAGAATTGTATGTAATAGTTGTGCTCCCTCAGGTTGAGGATGCAGGTCTGATCAGCCACCCCCCCTGGAAGCTGAAAGTCATCCAGCTGTTTGAAACTCAGAGGGTTCGACATGGCATGATGGCCCTGGGGCCCAGTGGTGCTGGAAAGACAACCTGTATACACACGTTGATGAAAGCCATGACAGGTAGGATTTTTTGCATGTTTTGGGATGTATCTTAAGGAAAAGAGACAAAAACATATGTGTCTGTGTGTGAGAGAGACAAAGACAGGCAAGGCGAGGATCATCTTATCTCCCTTTAAACCTAAAGTGACAGCTTGCAAATCAGTGTGCAAGTTGTTGTTTTTTGTGTGCGTATTTTGTTGGAATAAAATTGGTGTGTTAGATATCATATCATAGATATCTTTCTTCTGTCAGAGTGTGGTCAGCCTCACAAAGAGATGCGCATGAACCCCAAAGCCATCACAGCACCTCAGATGTTTGGTCGACTGGATGTGGCTACAAACGACTGGACTGATGGCATCTTCTCCACACTTTGGAGGAAAACACTGAGAGCAAAGAAAGGTCAGAAAAGTTGCTTACTTGAAATTAGTTTCATGTAAGGTAATGTAAGTATAGAGTAGTTTATGTAAATAAAATAATATTTTGTGTATATTAGAGAATATAGAATATTTCATCTTAATAAACATTTTGAGCATTTTCATTTTACAGGCCAAAAGTAATATTGAAAAACGGTGCATGCTTTAAGAATAACCTACTATATCTTTCGTCTATATGAAGCTTAGCACAAGTTGTAATACATTTTTAAGGGGCATGTAAGGGAGCATCGTTTCACAGCAGCATCCTCTTTTCTAAGTTAAATTAAAGGGATTACTGCCAAGTTAAGAAATTAGTCCTCAAATGATTCATTAGTAGTCTTGGTAATCTAGGGTTCTTTTTCTTTGGGAAAACTAGTATTTCACTACGCTGCAGAGAAGTTTAAATATCTTGGGACATCCTTGCATCCATAGTTCAAAGCAGCACCAACAGCTGTTTGATCTTTCTGCACAGTCCTAATCCCACACACCTCATTAAAAATGCATGTGTGTATTGGTACGAATATACATTATGTGTGTTAACTTTTTTGTGTCAAAATATGCATCTAATGTATTCATTATATGTTCTCATGCAGTTATGCATATCTTTGAGCAGGGTGGTTTGTCAGCTGCTTGCTGTTAATACTATTCATTTATGCAGCTTGTTGCTTTGAGCCAGTAGGATTACACTGTAGAAAAGTAGATGATGTGGAGTTGTGACAGAGCTCCTTAGGGATTGTCCTTGTGAAAATAGGCTGTACCTACATTGTGATTCAACACATACAGCATGCCAAGTCATTAAAACAGATCGTTTTAATGACTCGTGTATATATGTGAAAGCAGTCATATTGGTATTGAATATTTTGACCAAACTATGGGTCCCTTTGTTTAAGAACAGATCAGTTAGTCAAAACTAACAAGCATACTTGCTTCACAGGAGCATGAACCACTTTCATTAAAAACAAACATGTATGTGTAGTCAAAGTAGACTGTCTTGTGTTTGTTTCTGGATCAAAGTTGGTATTTATTGTTGTTTTCTTTCTTTGTTACTGATACATTTCAGCTTGTTTTTTTGTTGCAAAGCAATAACTCAGTGTTTAGCTACACAATCTATTTTAGTGGAGTCATGGTGTGCCATCCTTTCCATGAAATAAATGCATTTTCAGAGGCTTTTCATCCTGCTGATTATGGGTGAGGTCATGCATAATATCATATTCACATTCGTGTAAACAAACAAAAACACTTTTTCTCTTTCAGGAGAGAACATATGGATAGTCCTGGATGGACCAGTCGATGCCATCTGGATTGAGAACCTAAACTCAGTGTTGGACGACAACAGAACTCTCACACTCGCAAATGGAGACCGTATACCCATGGCTCCCAACTGTAAAGTGGTTTTTGAGCCACATAACATTGACAACGCCTCTCCAGCCACTGTCTCACGCAATGGCATGGTGTTCATGAGCTCTTCAGTGCTCAACTGGAGCCCTATACTGGAGGTGAAATGAAAATGAAAAACATTTTGAAATGAAAATGAAATGAATTTTCTATATTTTTGTTTATCCACACAAACATAAAAAAATTCTCATGGTATGATATATTACAGTACATACCAGCTAAATCATTTAATATACACAATATAATTTAGCATAAAATAATAACAATATTAAATCTAAAAAAACGATCTGTGTATATATATATATATATATATATAGATATATCATCATAGATGTATATATATATGTATATA